ATCGAAGATAGCGGAAAAAAGATTAAATGGTGTCCATCACCGGGATGCGAATATGCGATTGAATTATTTGGAAGTGGAAATGGAAACTACGATGTTTCTTGTTTGTGTTCGTATAGCTTTTGTTGGAATTGCACTGAAGACGCTCATCGTCCGGTAGATTGCGAAACGGTGTCAAAATGGATATTTAAGAACAATGATGAATCCGAGAACACGACTTGGATACTTGGGAATACGAAGCCTTGTCCTAAATGCAAGCGTTATATCGAGAAGAACATGGGATGTATGCATATGACATGCTCATCGCCTTGTAAGCATGAGTTTTGTTGGCTTTGTCTTAGTGATTGGCAGACGACGACACAGCATAATTGCAACAAATTTGATGAGGATGATGAGAATGAAACTAAGAGAAAAATGGCGAAAAATGCGAGTGAGAGATACATGCATTATTATGAAAGATGGGCAAGCAATCAATCTTCGAGGCTAAAGGCGATGGAAGATCTAGAGAAATTGCAATCTGTGCAGCTTAAGGAGCTTAGTTACAAACAAGGCACGCCAGAAACTCAGCTTCAGTTCACCGTAGAGGCATGGCTTCAGGTTAGTAGATTACATAACTAAAATTTCCCTAAAATTCTATTGGTAACAATGTTACCGTAACATTGCAATAGAAGCTTTAAATTTTTCATTGATCTTGTGGAACCACCACTTTTCATGGCATCAACATTTTTGTTGACATCAAAGGGACATATTTATTAGGTTTGCGGAAAAAATTGCTAACCGGCCTCAAAGAAAAGCTAAGTATACAACATTTTTGTCAACAAATACTCACATGTGGTTGATTTTATTGTTGTAGATCATTGAATGTAGGAGGGTCTTGAAGTGGACATTTGCATATGGATACTACTTACCTAATCACGAACAAGCCAAGAAACAATTTTTCGAGTATTTGCAAGGTAAGTTTTGTTTTGGTACAAAAAAGGTTAAGACTTTATATGTTTTTGAAACAGTTTCATTTGGTAAAATTTTCTTGTTCCATTCCCTTCATTCGTTTTCTTTTTTTCTTCCTATTGTTTCTCTATTGATCACCAATCGGGGCCTAGTTTTTGTGTGTACTAATATAATTATTAATTTGTGACATAACTAAACTTTTCATGTATGTGTTGTTATTGTTTTTTAGGGGAGGCTGAAGCTGGTTTAGAGAGGCTTCATCATTGTGCAGAGTCAGAGTTGAATCATTTTGTATCTAATACTGAAGGATCACCCAAAAATTTCTCTGATTTTCGGAACAAATTAATTGGTTTGACTAAAGTAACCAAAACCTACTTTGAAAATCTTGTGAAAGCTTTGGAGAATGGTCTTGCTGATGTGAGCAAATCACCAACAAACTCTGAATCTTTTCTTGAAAAAGACAATAAGATTGTTAGATAAGTGTTGAAGGAACAATTTAGTCACTGATATTTCTCATCAGTTTCAGTTTTATTTATCTCTTTATTATTATAAGGAAAGGTATAAGGGGGAAAAAACTTTTAGAGCTGAAAAATTTGTGGAATTGTTTTTACTTTTGACCTTAATACCTTTAATCATTACAGTATTTAGTATGAAAGAAATTACATGAATGTTACCTTGGACAATATGCTTATATTTTCTTTCAATAATTGAAAATTTTTATATCGAATTTCAAATTAATGTTGCTGCTTAAAATTCCGAAAACGGTAGAAAATTAGGTTTTTTTTACCACTCCCTACATTTTTTTTAACCTTACCACTCCCTACATTGACCAAAGTAAAATTGCAACAGATGGGACTGGATCTTTGGAGCTGATCAGAGGGATGAGACTATCAAGACTGTTGGAGATTTTAAAGCCCTTACAGCCAATATTTAGCCAATAAGTTTATGACTTTATTAATTTTTGAAAAAATTACAAAAATACCATTTTTTATGTGCATATTTACAAAAAAAAATGTCACTTAAGGGTGTTTATTTGCAAAAATGACA